GTTTACAAGTCCAACCATCTGAAACTCAGACTCTAATTGAATGCCAGCAAATACAGCATCAAGTCGCGGAGAATCTAATGGGTTACCGGAGCTACTCGACGTGCAGGAGAAGGAACGGGGTGGTTTTTAGTCAGTAAGAGTCTGACACTCCCTCCCGCCTCACTCAGGCGGGAGCAGTCATTCGATAAATTTCCCCCCCTTAAACAATATCAAAATTCCTTATTCCCAGAATTTAGAAACCCCATAAACTTTACTAATTCAGACATCAAATACTAAAACTTGTTCCCGGTAATTAAATTCACATTAACTTAACTAATATATATTTTTATAGATTTGATAGATTTTCCTACCTAAAAAAAATACAGCATCAAAATCGAACACAGACCTCCGCACTTTCTAGCCACTAGACTAACGAGGCAGTCGAACGTAAATTGCTTAATAAACACAAACAGTGTACAAAGACAAAATACGTGATGCGCAAAAACGGATTATGTCGTACCGTTTATAAAATGTTTAAACAATCTATTTAAACAACATCTGGTTTCACAGTACATTTGCAAAACATTTCAACTCATATACACGGATTTGTTATACTTGTGTTTCCCCTGCCTTTGTCTGTTATTATTTCAATTTTCAACAGTGCTCGCAATTTATCTTTGCATCAGTCGTTTCTCTCGTTAATATGTTTGTAATTTTTACGTAAGGTAACATTACGTCTTATATCGTCGAAGGGGTAGGCAGAGGTGCACATTACGGCACTTAATGCCCCTGTACAATGTAACATCCACCTTTCACTATTTATGTTATGAGTCCCATATAATTGGGGGCTACAATTCCAGACTACGCGTTACTACTGAGATTTTTTTTAAACCCAGTAATAATTTGCTCGACACTGGAATCGAACCCGAGACCCCTTACCCGGAGTTCTACTTGCGAACACTCAGCCAGCATAGCAGCCTCTGTATTTTTTTTTCATATTTAAATATATTTCTAGGTACAAGCAAATATTTATGAAAATTAACACAGTGCTCTAAGAGTAATAGTGTTACAAAAAAATCAACATTTAAAAACACTAGCATTAACAACAACCTTCCTAGAATCGAGTAAAAAGTTTCCATTACCAATCCACAATTAATATCTCTGTAAATGTTCATTTCATTAAAACTAAATAGTTCAGCTTTTAAACATTTATAAAGGTAGGCCTTTTCCTTAACTAAAAATTATCATCATTATCAGCCCATTATACTTATCCACTGTTGAGCAAAGACAAATAGTATCTTCTCTTTCTGACTACAAATAGTCCAGAATTATTCTATCCTGTGCCTTTAGCCAAACGCCACTTTAGCGCTTGTCTACAGAGAGAGTAGAAATCAAAATGTATGGGGATGACACTGACAAGTGTCAAAATTTACGTCAGTTCCATATAATTTGGTTTTCTATTCTACATGTAGACAAGCGCTAAATGGCATTTGACTACAGCTGCAGGGTCTTTAGCCAAACGCTACTTTTGCGCTTGTCTACAGAGAGAGTAGAAATCAAAATGTATGGGGATGACACTGACAAGTGTTAAAATTTACGTCAATTCCATATAATTTGTTTTTCTATCCTACATGTAGACAAGCGCTAAGTGGCATTTGGCTACAGCTGCAGGTTACTAAAAGTTCACATTTATACGAATTCATTTCTCTTTAAAAATATCCATCAATGATTTCGTTCAATACCGTTACATACAAACTTACTGCCCTATTTATATTATTAGTTAGTATCTACGCTTACCTCTGAATATTTTATTACTAGCTTTCCTTTTGAGACCGAGTCTCGTGACGTCACAACAATATTTATCTTAAGAAGATGCTTAAGAAAATTATGTAATTAGCGTTAAGAGTTCCAAGACTGTCTTAGGAACTTGTCGTTTAAATAAGAATTTATTTTGAAGTCCTTCTAAATGCCTATGTTATTTAGAAGTGAAGTGAAGATTATGTGTTTGTATACAATTTTACAAAGATTTTATAGAAATAAATTTTAAATAAAAAATGAGTTGGTTTGTTCACGTTAATACATCGGACAAAGCTCTACTAGTTTTGGGCCACACAGCAATTTTTAGATAATCCTGCATGTCTTACAATAGTTATTATAAAAATTAATCAATTTTGAAATACTTATTTCTTCCCAACGTTTATTTAAAACACGATGTTGATTGAGTTCAACAGAATTCGATCTTTGCAATTTATTAAAAAAAAAATTATATCAGCTGAAAGGCTTACGCATAGCTGACCCAAAGCAAAAATTGTATTCAAGAACGTACCATACAGTAAAAGTTAGTATCTAAACTTGATTTTTATGGGATAAACCGATAAACAAGTAGACGGATCACCTGATGGCAAGCAATCAACGTCGCCCATGGACACCCAGAACACCAGAGGCGTTACAATTGCGTTACCCGCCGTTTGGGGATTAGGAATTCGACGATTTTTGAGGATTCGGAATTAGGGAGTCGGGATTACCCCTAATTGGGCTTCCGCTAAACTCACTCACACGATGAAACACACGTCGGTTTTCGGAGAGGCCGTGGTACCACTCCGGTCGAGCCGCCCCATTCGTGCCGAAGCATGGCTGTCCTACACTTGACACTTCATAAATATAAAAAAATATTGTCTTCATCATAACCAAAAGTAATCCGAACTGTAATAAATAAAATATTATTATAACATCCCATGAAACTACAAACTTATTCATTTGGCTATCGCCCAAAATTTAAAGAGCCGTAAACGAGCACTGATTGTGACGTAGAAATTAGTTTGATTAATTAAATAAGTGATTTCTTAGAGTTGATGGAGATTATATTGTACTGAGAAGAAACATTAATTCGTTTAATTGAATAATTTTGAATAATAATGAGATTAGTAGTTAGATAACTACGTTGGGGGGTAGATTATTTATATATATGATTTCATTGGGATGAAATTATGTATTGTATAATATTTTTGATAGCAATGAGGCTTGTTTACTTATAACGGGCAGGTAGACATGTTTCTTCTTTTCAAAAATTGAAGAAAGGTGATGTAACGTATTACTGGTACTTTTTAAAACAAATGTTATGTAGATTGAATAGTCTCAACCTCGACTATATTCCCGTGTTGTTTTGAAACTGTATGTAGAATTACCCACTGGGACTTAAGTGAGTTTTTAGACCAAAACACCTTTAGTCTGTTATGGTTTTCGCATGGCCTAGTTTTAGTCTGTTTTTGCCAGTTGTATTTTGGATCTACTCCGCAGAATAACAAGTTTTATGGTAGACCTAAATAACACATACAATACAGTTTAAATTCCAATGATTCATAACAAAAGATACATCAGTTTTACAAATAAAGGAAAATGTGTAACAATGGAAGCTAGTTACTCCATTTCTTATTTCAAAAGAATTGTTTGAAAACAGACGCCAGCTCATCAAACTACCCTTACTTGTTAGATTTCTTTAAAACAATTTCAACCTTATTGTTTTGCAATAACGTTGCAAACGAAAACTACAGCATTCATGTCAAACGCAGAGCACTTTCTCTAAATGAGTTCCAATTTGCCGAAGCCATTGCAACGTGCAACGGTGCAACGCTACAGTTTTACCCGATGTTTTAATATAGATATAGAATACTATACTATCGCAGCGACCTCATTAGTTGTTTGTCAGGACAGCTGCAGTACACGAAAACTCGGATTTGACCACTGGTTCGCGTAAACTGCTGTTACTTTAGTTAATATTGGGAATAAGTAGCTTAAACTGTCAAACACTGCGAGGACACTGGTGACCGCAACCTATTGTTCTTTATTTGTGTCTATAATGACTGTACTCAAAGGGTTAAATATTAGATTTCGCTCCTTAATTTTGATTTGGTAATCAGATATACTTAGAACGACGTCTGTTATTGTGCAGGAGTTTAACAACTGGGTTTCCCTAATTACGTGTGACTAAAACTTATACATAGCTGGTATTTTTTTATGTCCAACATCTAGTTATCGTAACCTGAATTATAACACCTAATAAAGTAATACACGTGGTTTTAAACGACCACTTATGCACAGGTTTCAGTTTAATAGACGATGCTTTTATGAAGTCCAGAATTTTATGATTCATTTATGAATGACATCACGCCTTTTATCCCCGAAGGGGTAGGATTAGAGTCGGTTTTTTACGTGGTTTATAAAAGAACTAAAATTACAAAACATCGAATGAAAGTAAAGAGTAATTTTCTACGAAATGTATTAGTCGATTACCCAACTACCTTCTAGGAAGAGGAACTATAAAATGCACACTATAAAAAATTGTTAAAAAGGACGGAATATACTTGAAAAAAATCATGCACGAAACTGAAGCATTTTTCGCATTTCATTTTACTCTGAAGCCATTAAATCCTAGTTGTTCTATTTCTCAAATTCCAAGCATTGTGAAATTTGAACTCTCGCTTTCAGGTTATTTTTTTTTTCACGACTAACTTTCAAAAATTATTTCAGTGAATTTCAGGCACGTTTTGATGGGTGAATTGGAACAGTTAAAATACTTACGAGATAGCTCGAGTTTTCGTGTATGACTTTTCGTTTTGTGTTGAAAAAAAAACGAAATACTTTTTTTGTACCATTCATATGCGATGTGTAAAACGTAGGATTAGGTCATAGAGGGAGACAGTATCAGTCAAAAATGAATAAAGAATTACGTCATAAACACTATAGCCTAGTAATGTTAGTCATCTCCTCCTAACTAACTTGATTTTATATTGATTGTCTCATTGAGAAGGTAAAAAAACAAAAACCACTTAGAAGATGTATGATGAGAAGTTGTAACAGATAAAAATTTTAGAAATAATCGATTGGCTCTTTGTTTATTTCAGACTAATTTGATTTAGCCGGTAACAACAATAAATCTTAATTTTAAGAAGCAATAACTAACAAGTCATTTTCATAATTCAATTTCATTCATTCATCATTAAAATCCTTATTTTTGTCTACAGGAGATCAACTACGACTCACCCCGTGGAGGGGTCTCAGTCATCACTGAGAAAGGGGAGACGACCACGTCACACCTTCTGGTACAAAGGGCCAAAGCCCCTGACTCTGGCAGGTACACCTGCGCCCCTGCTAATGCTAATCCGAGATCTGTACTCGTCCATGTTCTGAGCGGTAAGTAGATTAATTTAGATCCCTAATGCTCTTGTCATAAGGATGATTTTCTGTTTCGTGAAATTAAGTTAACAGGAAAAAAGCTATTTTACAAGGAAGCCTTAATCTTCTTTAGACAGTTGTGCATTAGTCCAGAAAAAAAGTCACTGGCCTTATCTAGAAAAAAATAAAAAATACTTGAACCTGCGAATGGTCTTGAAGACTCTCAACTTCTAAAATTCTTCTACTGCTTTTGAAGAATCCAAATGCTCACTAATATTCTTTTTTCCCAAGGTGAGCACCCAGCTGCCATGCAGCATGGTGGCCAGCTCCGTCTCCAGTACCCTCTGTCAGCTGCCCTCCTCAGCGTCATCGTGACCCTCATGGGCTGCTAGTATCAACAGCTAGACAGTTTTGTATTATATACCTTGAGTAAGCGTAATATGGATCATTTTTACTAATACTTGAAAGCAAAAGGAGTTTCAATTCATACTGACCAGGTAATTTTTGTAGTGAATTCGTTTTGTGGTGTTAATGACAACAAATTTATTGTTATAACTAATTATAGTAAAGGGTGAAAGTATTAAAAATTACAATTAACTTTATACCAATTATTTGGTTTATGTCATAATATATTCATATGAATTGGCATTCCCTTTTCTTTCTACTTTTGGAACTTGACAACGTTTATCTTAAGTCCTTTAGTCGTCTTCGAATTCGAGACACTTACGTAAATTGAACATTTTGTAAAATCATTAATTCTAGTTATGACGTTTGTCGTATCGCATAATTATGTATGATATCATTGATTGTAACAATATCGTCATCATCTGTAATTTGTCAAAGTAAATTAGTATTATGTAAAAACTTACTAGCCAATTGTTACTTATCTAGTCTTGGAAGTTTTATATCACAGGCAATGTAAGTACGTAACTTTCTCCAGCCATTCCTAAACTTATATGAGAAAATAAAAACGAACTTTATTTATTATTGTTTTACGGTTCTATTTACGTTTTCGACTTTCTACGCTAAAGATTTAGTGAAGGACTCACGAGTGAGAGCTTCTGACTGCGTAACAACTATAAAACAATAATAAATATGAATGGGTCTGGAAGTTGTTATATTAAAATAGGGGTTTTATTGGCCACAAAGAAGAAACATGGTAGTGAAATATAGACTAGATGCTATGGAGCGAAAAGAAAATCGTGAATCACAGGTAGATTTTGTAATCCATATTAATACCTGAAAACCGAATCGCGCAGAAGTAATCAGCCGGAGGTCCACATTCAATAAATAACAGAATCTAACGGAGAACCCGATTACGTAACGGTACATCACAATGATTAAATTTTCATAGGTTTCCGAATTCTTCCAATAATCTCTATGTATTCTTGTCAGGCTCGCCGAACGAGCTTGTTTCATAAATAATCAATTGACGATGTTACCCACGTTAAAAACGTCAAACGCAAATACATATAACATGAGAGGTAATTTTCTTTTTGCTAGTTCATTGAACTGTGTATTAGTGGTCGGTAATATTTGAGGGTCGCGAATTTTGCGGCTTAGAAGTGAGAATAAAGGGTTACTTCAAATAAAATGTTGTTACGTGGGGTTGCAGAATTTTGGTACGACATTACACATTTTTCGAGTGATGCCAGGGGGTTTCAATTGGTTTCCATTTTAAGAGTCACTTGAATCTAACAAAAGAAAACTAAACACTATAATAAGACGAGACACCCAAGTTAATGTTCTATAATGTACTTATCAGATCCATAATAATCAGTAGGAAAATCAAGATTCCCATGAAAAAGTAACTTAATCTAATTACACTACATGATGTAAGCAATGACATACTACCATCTCATCAAACATTTTCCCATCAAAACTATGGTGACCAAATATAATAATTGTATGTTCATTTATATTCTGTATTAATTAGCTGAAATGAGGTGTGTTTTTGCCAGTGGTTTATCAAGTAGGACATGTAATTTGACCAAATTTGTCATTCTGTCACACAGAAATTATCAAGCGTGTTATAATTGCGAGGCGGAATAATGACCCTTATTTAGGCATGTTTTCGTACACGATTTTGACGATAGTCAGGATATTATTTTCGTATCGCTTGTTGTGATTATTGGGAGACAAACACGTGTACGGTTTGGTGATTGGTATTATTTACATTTCCTTATTAATTTGATTAGGGTAACAGATATTACTCTTTAATAACTTTGCCGTGTTTGTAAAGAAAACGAAAAGAAATCTAAAATGATACATCACATTATAGATATGTTTTTAAGACGTTGCCCCCCCCCCCTCCACACTAGTTGTTTTACGTTTATAAACATACAAATTTACATCCACATTATATCCAAACTCGGAACAAAAATCTGTAGTTCACACAAATAGTTGTACCGCGCCGGAATCGGACCACCCGCGACATGTTGCGCGGTTCCTAGTTAACCATACACCACGCCAACTGTGCAGATTCCTTAATAAGACAAGTTTTATCATTATTCTTTTATTCGTTTCGATAGCACTTTTCATTTGAGACATTACAATTATTATTTTGCATGCAAACTCTTTAGGAAATAGGCATAATGTTTTTAAAGTAGCAAAACCATTAAAAAAGTCATAAACTAATTAACAGAAGTTGTAAGAAAGTACTAAAAACGAACATAAAATTGATTCTCTCTTAAATTAAATATCAAAGAGTGTTCCCGATTTTCTAAATTTAGGCTTGGTGATTAAACTGACGAAATTGGCATAAACTCTATAATATTCATAAGGGCGTGAACATATTCTGCCTCTCTCCCCTCCTGCTAGTTTATTTTTGGCAAGCGCCTATCTTCGGCATGTTTGGAAAAACATAAATACGTTATAACAAGCCATTATGTTTTTGTATACATTTTTCGTTATTATGTTATACCAGAGATTGTGTTTACGGAATAGAAATTTTTGGTTAGATTTTTTATTTGTCTTTCGTTATAATATCTACAGCGATTTCTTTTGCTTATGATAAAAATAGGTTTTCTTTATTATTTTGTGTTTTGTTCTATTTTGCATAAGGATATCTGCAGGCTTCCAGGCATAAATATTACATAAAGCTAGGTTACTTCAAAATTTGTATAGTTTCTAGTGTCTTACAAAATATCAAAATTAACGAGTATTTTATAAAATGGACAAATTCAATCTTACTTTGTTCGAACAGAGAAACAAAATCTCCCACAACCTTTTATCTTTAAAATTAACCAGAAATAGACTTCTCGCTATTACTAAATGCGGTGAAAACTTATTCTTCTTTGCTCATAGCAACAAAAACTTTTTAATATTTAACTGACTCACTACTTTTATAAGTTTCTAGCGTTTTGTTAACTTCTTTTTTTATTAGTTTAGCTGGCCGTTTAAAGTTTTGTCATATCAAAGTTTTATTACTTTCCCTCACGGCTCAAGCAACAAACATATATTTTGTTTTATAACTATCTATTACAACATCAAGACCCTTTCTTAATGGCCTGGACATGACCCTGAAACTACCATTTTTAATCATCATTAACTAACTTTGGTATATTATTTTTATGGGAAAATTTACGATAGTATAGATATCAATAATATAGATATCTTATATTGAGTTATAGAAAAAGCTAGCTTCAAGATAGCAGACTATTGTTTCATTGTCAACGTGAGTGGTTTTCTAAACGATAAATGTATGAGCATGCAAGTTAAACTTTAGTAAGATTATAGTAAACTTCAAAAACACGCCGTGTCATGCATAAGCAACCTAACCAACCATCTCAAAGTACATGTAATGGACGTTACAAAGAAAAAGTATGTAAAAGCAATTCAACTTGAAAATTGTCGCAGAGAAATTATTTATTCAAGAGTTTCACTCGAAGACACGTCGTTTTCGAGACAAGTTACTTCAAAGCGTACATCTTAATTTATCACTGAAGGGTGAAACAGGCTTGTAATAAATTATTTGTTAAACAACCCTTGACGTGAACCAAGTACTAATAGATTGTTCATGTTGATTAATTTTAAGTTGGCTTTTGAGTCTGTGAACTGAACTTAGATTCTCAAGTTTACAGCATATGTATATAATCTGCATACTTAAGTTACAAATTCAGACATAGTCTAGGCAATGTAACTCGTTGGATAACACATCTAACTCAATTTTGTATATGCGAAGGTCATAGTTCGATTTGACCTACAGGCGTCCCCCAAGGACTTTACCTCGGCCTGACAAATATTTATAGACATTTTGCAACTATTTCACAATATCTCTGAGAATGTGTGAAAATGATTGCGTCTTCAAGAAAATGATTGCGATGTCAGGCAAACAATATGAATTTGCTTGTTCAATCAACTACGACATTGAATGTATTATAATTCTGCCATGATTTGTTTGACTTGCTTTGCAAGTCCGATGTAAATATAAATTGTTACGAAGTAAACGATGTAAGTCCATATTAATGTAGTTATTGTAAACTAACGTTTGATGCATTATTTATATCTCATAAGCAGCTAGGTACTTCTGTCTATTTAATGGATAGACATTTTTATTGAAAATAGTAATCATGATTTTAAGACCAAAACCATTGTTCGTTGAAGAATGCTGACAGCCATTTCTTTTATGATAGCATCATCAAACTCACGATTTTGGAATAAATCAAATAGTAATTACATTACAAACGTAATATCATAATCTTTTACAGATATTACTAAGAGAATGAGAAATTTAAGTGAGTGCTTTTGCATAATTTGGTACCATATAATTCGATTACATCGACTTTTGTACGTATTCAAGATTTAATTTGATTGATTGAATTTTCACTCGATTCAAGGAGAAATAATGCATCAGACTAATTAATATAAAAAACCTTTTGTAAATACATATTCATAAAGTAGTTATATGGAACCAGAATTATTATTTTGTTGTTATTATGTTCAAATACTTGATATAACTACTAGATTAGTACCTATGTTAAAATAAATGAAAAATGGATATTTATAAATAAATTAATACTTTGAAAAGGTATGAAAATATTAGATATAAAGTTATTATAACGACTAAGAGTAAGTTTGAAGTCATTTGCATCGATGACTTAGTTTAAGGTTAGTATAAGTTTTATGAATATTGATTTTTTTTATAGTCTATCAATGTAATACGGTTGTGTAAATACAGTATGATATAAGAAGTTATTTAAGAAAATAAATCTATTGATCGTCAAATTTTAGTATGTTTTATTTAAACCCTAAGTACACAATAACAAAGTACAAACAAGATTTAATATTATTAAAAGTACCCCTTTGATGTCGCAGTAAACGAAAACGTAGTTATCGGCAAAGGGTTATTTAATTATACCCATAATACAAAAAAATAACAGTGCTATTTTAT